CGGGGGTTCTTATAGAACCTATCTCATAAGGTTGCTGTGCAGAAGCATCTACAACAGTGCCCGGGACACGGTAAGTGCTCAGTAAGTGGTAGCTATGGTTAGGACCATCAGGAGGGTGAGAGGCTGTGAAATTGGCAACAAGCGAAGGAGAGACAAACAAGTGATGAAGGAGGAGCTGGCGAGGCAGGGGGCAGAGCAGGTTGAAAAGAGACAAGCGGCCCAGAGGAGGCAGCAGAGGGAGGCAGGCGTGAGTGGGGAGGGCAGGAGGCAGGGCCTTTCCTGGGGCCACTGAGGGGGTGGACGGGGAGGGAGGGGCTGGCAAAGGAGAGGGGCGGGGGGAGCCCTGTGACCAGGCTCAAGGCCCTGCTCGCCTCAGCGCCCAGAGTTGTGTCCAGCGGCCTGGCGCGGGAGCGGCTCTGAAGACCCCTGCGCTCCACCTTGACTGAGAGCAGGAGCCAGGGAGCACCTCTGCACGCCCACTGCTGGCGGTTGCCAAGGTTACCTGCGGAGCTGCTCCTGAAGTGCCCACAGCTCCCCCTCCTGTCCCCTCAGCTGCTGCTCCTGGCGCTGGGCCAGCTGCTTGGCCTTCTGCAGCTCATGCTTGAGGCTCTGGAGGCGAAGGAGGGGGAAGGGGGCTGAGGGAGGAGGGCAGAGGCCTCACGCCTGGGGCTGACTTGACGGACATCCCCATGAGACCCCGGGCCAGGCCCTGGGGTGGAGGGCAGGACTCTGTGCTGGGGCTGGAATGCCTGGCCCTGTCCTAGGCCTTGCCCTGGGGGAGCCTGGGGCCACTGCTTCTTCCTTCACCGCAGGACTGAGTTACAAAGCCCCAGGACCTGGAAGCCTGGCTAGGGAGGAGGCCAAGGGAAGGCTCCGTAACAATCTTGGGGAACCTGGATAAGCATCTGCAAGGAGAGCAGCTTAGGTGGGGTCTGCAACCGTGAACTTGGATTTTGGGAAGAGACCTGCCATAAAGAGAAACACGGACCTTGAGAACCCACGACTGACCTGAAGAACTGTTGGGAAGGGATCCCAAACTCAAATGCCTGCAGGGGCTGGGCGGGAAGTATTGATGAGTAAAGTGGGCCTAGTGTGAGGCACTAGGGAAAGGTGGGGACTTTGGGGAACTGAAGAATTCATGGCTTTCAAAAGTCATCCCCAAGTAACAATCCTGTGTGGGCCAATAAAAATTGATCTGTGGGCTGAAATGACTCCTGGGCTACCACTGGAGACCCCCACCCGTGGGCCAGGTCAGAGGGGGGATTAGACAGGTAAGGAGCTCTATTGCTCTCACCTTGACCACGTCCTGCAGGGGCACCTCAGCCTGCTCCTCCCTCCTGGCCACACTGGTCACTCCTGTGTGCTCCTGTGGCTTCTCTGCGGTGGAGCCTTCCTTTGTTCCCAGGCCCTGGAGGACCCAGGACTCCCCCAGAGTGCTCGGCCCCTCCCACTCCTGCCTGCTCCCTAGTGTTGCTTCCTCTGTCACCCCTCTGGGGCCGGCGGCCAGCAGCCTCCGGACATGACCCCACTCTGCTTCCCCTTCATGAGTCCCCTCTGTGGTTCCCTGACCCTCTGCACCTGGCAGAAGCCCTCTGCCCTCAGCCTCCAGCCCTCTCACCTCCCTCTGAGCCCCCTTGGCTCCCTGCCCCTGTCCCTGGATGCTGGAGTTCTCCAGGAAGATTTCAATCCACGGGGCTCCCTCCTCCTGGTCCAGCTGAAGTTCCTCCCCCTCTGGTTCCCACATGCTCTGGGAGGGTCCGAGGCTCCTGGAATCTTCTCTCTTCTTTTCCAAAACGTGGGGAAGATGCCTTTGTTGTTGGGACCCAGGGAGTCTAACCAACTGGTGTCCCCTGGGTGCATCTTGCAGACAGCTGGCTTGACTGGTGTGTGGCTCGTCCAGCTGGACTCCTGCGGGACCTTCATATGCAGCTGGGATCTAGAGAGAAGCCCCCAGACCTGTCATCCCTCTCAGTACCAATTCACTGACCTGGTGCATGGGAGAGGCCACAGCCTTAACCCAGCAGGCTTGCTGAGTATGTGATCCCCAGGCCCTCTCACTGGAAATTTTGATTTATCATAGAAATCTGAATTCTAACAACACCCCAGGCGATCTGAGACCCCAGCTTTGATCTGGTGAGGCACAGCAGTGTGTCTCAGTGTCCTTTCCTCCACTGCCCCTGGCCCATGTCCTTCTCCCTTCTGCTCTTGGGTCTTCTGCATTGATTTGGTTTCCCCTAAGTTCCTCCACTCCTCTCCTTTAATCATTCCTCCTGAATTTGACTTTGTGTTTCAGTTTTCTCACCTGCAAAATGGGAATAATAATACCTGGTTTGTAGGGTTGTGATGAAAGCTGAAATGGACTGGCACCCAGCTAACAGTGACCTCTTTCAAGAGGCCTTCTCTGTGCCCCCACGTTCCTCTGCCCATGTCTGTATCGCTGCACTCAACGTGTATTGCAATGTGTTCCTTTAGGGTCTGTCTCCATGAAGAGACCTTGAACTCCTTCAGGTCAGAGTCCTGACAGTATCTTTACCTGGTGCCTGGAAGCTGATGGGTGCAAACTGTGCTTGTGGAAAGATAATAACAATAATGATGGTGAACACAGCCTGCCTCGTAGTGAGCGTGTAGCCAGGAGCCTAGCTGTGTACAGCACATGAGTTGCCTCAGTTTACCCTAACAATCACCCTATGAGGCAGGACAAGCAACTTGCCCAAGGACCATGGTTAGCAGAAAGGGAAGCTGGGCTGTGAACCAGGCAATCTGGCCCTTGAGTCTCTCCCTGGACTGAGCTAGACATTTGCCAATTGTCCTGTGCAGGGGACTCAGCAGGTGGTCTCCCTCATCTGTTTCCTGCTTGCTTCCGGTTACCCACCCCAGCCCCTCCTGCTCACCTGGGCCCAGTGGCTCCTGCCAATGGTGCTAGTGTTCCCTTTCTCCCCAGATATCCCCACCACCCTAGGAATAGGAGCCCTCTCCTCCTCTGTGGCAGGCCCCTGGTCCACACACTGGCCTCAGACTCTGTCTGTCCAGTTGGGCCAGGGCTCTCTGTATATTCAAAGGGGAAGGTCCAGTTACTGCTCAACCTGGGGGGTCCCAAGAAGATGGGGAAGAGGAAACTTAGGGTGATGGGGCAGAGGCACCTCCTTTGGGGCATCTTTGGTTTTCCTGGGTCTTCTTCCCTGGGTCTGGCTGGAATTGGAACAGCATGACCTGAAAGTAGAACAGGCATGGGCACCCTGGGCCTCTCTTCAGAGATGGGCTTGGTCCTCAGATGGAGGGTATCCCATCTTTCCACCCACATATCCATCTCACCACC